GACTCAGCACGTGTATTACCGTCTGTTCCTGTGACTACATAAGTCTTCTAAGACTTCTCAAACGGTCACTCTAATAAACGGGATTTCATCACCTTCTCGCCTGCAGACACGTGAGGTTCTTGTGTGCAATCTCAAAATTGCTGGCGCCTTGAAGATTGATGCGGTGGTTTGCCTTGAGTTGGTATTACTGCCCCATGTGTCAGAACGGATCCCACACCCCACACGCGCACAAGACTCGGGTGCAATGTAATAGCGAGGTGAATAGAATCAAAGTCTTGTACACCATGACAAAATAAATTGTTTGACCAAAGTAATTGTAAGGCAATGATGGCCTCTACAACCCATAGTCCCTCCACACTGTAGTAGACATTAGAACATTGACACGTTTCCCATGACCCAATACTGAAAAAGGAGTCGTTAAAACGAGGATCCAAGTCGTTTCAGAATCTACTTACATGCCCGTCTGCCTGACATACGAGGCAAAACATGCATCTCCAAGCCATGCACTGCTAGGTGAGCCTCTCCATAGTGACTATAGACAAGCAGCTGGAGGGTAGCACGCACCGCAGCTGTGTTGCCTTTTGAGATATGGCCCTGGCCGTTGGCGTCCACCACGACGGCAGCCTCACCGGCGAGAAATCCACAGGCAAACAAAATCTCCTCCTGGCACAAGCTCTCAGGGTTGATGTAGTGGCCGCAGTTACTGGCCTCACAGCACCACAAACCATAGACATTACTGGCTATGCGATATGCAGCCGGGACATCAAAGTGGACACCAGGGAGAGCCTGCTCAATTGCAGCGGAGACACTGGGCAGCGTGATAAGGTGGTGTATGAAACGCGGGATGTGCCTATTTGCACCTGTGCCGTTGTTGGTGACCGTATAAACTGAAGCTGCAGGGGTACTGGTGCGTGAGCCGGCGTGAGCAGCAAGCACAATGTTGCTCATGGAGTTCATGGTAGCTAGCACAATAGTTTGGGCCTAAGAATGTCTCGTCAGTCTGTAGGCACATTATATACAAGGATATCATTACCGACATGTCCCATTGCGTCTGCAAAGGCTGATCCTCAGTGTCGGCAGTCCTGTGCATGCGGCGTAAGATGCCTTTGGACAACAACTACGTTAGTGACCGAGGTGGTGTGCGATGTTACTTCTGCTACTGACCTAAGTTGAAGCGCTCTTCATCGTGAAGTTAGTCTTTGGTTAGAGGAGCCATGGAGGAGAGAGATGGGGGTAAAAGTCAAGGCTGCACTGCCGCTGCCGCACTTCAGATGTGAAGTCAACTCAGTAGTGCTCAATCGTGCTCACCCGAGTCCAATCAAATGAGGTACCGGTCACTATGATATCCGCAGACACTCACCTCAACCGGCATCAGTAGCAGCATATCGAGATTGCCCACAGCTTCCCCCAAAGTGTGGAGGGCGAACCTGAAATGATATGTCCCACTTATCCCACCCGTCCCATGTCCCACAATTTGTCCCACATGTCCCACGTTACGCCACACGAGTAGGGTCATAGTTGCTCAACATCGCTGATAGTATTGCCTGTGCTGAGAGCGCTGAGGCCGACTCAAACATGGCTGGGCTCGGCCATATGACATGGGTGCTCACTTGAGCGGAAGCCCGACTACAGCTGCTCAGGACGACGGAAAGCTACGAGGTATAGCGAAGGATGATGCCGCTGCTTGCTTTACTATGGTTGTATATCAAACAGACGACCAACCGACAACTGCCGAATGACATCCATGGCAGGCAACTGATGCGGCGTGACAGGCGACGTGTTCTTGTCGCCCCCGCGGAGCAGACAACAAAGTACTGCGTGCAAAGGTGTGGCGGGGCGTAAGCATGTGAGCGCCACCTGGGACAAGTACTGGGACAAATCTCAAGAATGGGACAAAAAATGGGATGTGGGACACATGGGATGGGTGGGACGAGTGGGACATCTCGTTCCGAGTTCGCACAGAAAGTGTGGACATCTTGGAGGTCTATGGCGATTGCCTCACAGTGCCTGTAGACTGATTGGAGCTCCGACGCAGACACACTGATATTCCGGGTCCGTGCCATTATGCTTTGTAGACTGTTGCTTGTAAACAGTCTTGAATACTTTGTAGCACAGCAGTATCACTTCACCTGTCACCAGTTTGAACCTGGATGGGCCTTCAATGCTGGGCGGCAGGCGCCTGGGAGCTCTTGGAGAATGCTGAGTCTAAGCCGAGTCCGCCAATCTCGGACCGGAGGCTCAGTGTTGATCGCTGGTGTCCACCTCCAGATCCCATGTACCTCCAACTTCTCATCCATATGGCGCCCATTTAGTGTTCTAGAACCATACATCCCGGAATTCAAGTCTGCCGTAGTATGCTGGACTGTAGTGTGCGCCTGCTTCATGTACACAAACGATCGACATCCATTCACAACAGGAACAGCGGACGCGGCAGAGGATGCGCAGGTCTTGAAGCTTGACATGCTTGACAGGGCTTCAGGTGCGTTACGACTTGGCTGTCTGATCCTTGCTTGTGGCATTTTACACAGGGCACGGTCACATCTCCAATGTTCAAGCCATGTATTCTTGGTCGGTGACACGTTGCGGAGCATCTTGGTACGTTGTACGCTCGCTGTTTGCAAAGTGGGATAGACCATTGCAAGACTACAATTGTTTGAAGGAGCACATGTCAATCATGATTGGCTGATGGGTGTCTGTGCCACGTGCATCACTCGGCCCGAAATACCCCGCCACGGTAGAACTTACTTCCTAACAAGATCCCACGGGCGCGGCTGTGCATATGTATAACCCCTCTCTTCTCGAATGGATGGCCTAATACTCCGCTCCCCCTCCTTCATCGTACACCTGAGTGCGCGTACACTCCTGCTCTACCACTATAACCATCTCGCATCGCCTAATGGACCGTATGACGTGCTTGGGGAAACAAGAGGCTTTCGATGAGTCAGGCCAATGGGAGAGAGAGGGGGACAATCTCTGGGAGATGTTTCTGAAGGTTATGGGTTGTGAGAGGGAAGGGGTTGTTCAATACAATGCCTCAGCCATGAAGGCGATTATTCCGTTTGTGCGTCGTTTACTTCCCCGTATATCCAATGACTGACGACGCCTGACAGAGCGGTCTGTTCGCCGCCACAGTCGCAATCTTCCTCGTGGACAGCCACAAGAGTCTCTCGCCGGGCCCCAGCGCGGATTCCGCTCTCACGAATGCGCTGCTGGCACAGCTTGTGTTGGCATCAAGCGTAACGCCGGTAACAGCGGTTGACATAGAGCCTGTCCGCCCGACCCACACTGCCATCGTAGTCAATACGCTCTGGTACCTAAGCCTCGTCATCTCCCTCATCTGCGCTGTGCTAGCGACGATGGTCCAGGATTGGCTCAAGGAATCCGCAGTCGAGGACGTCCGTCCCTCGGTTGCAACCATTGAGCGCCACGGCCTCACGCGGCTATACTCGCATACGGCGCTCGAGCGTTCCAGGCTAGATCATCTGCCAACATGCGTAGTCGGCTTAATGCACTCCGCCGTGGCTCTCTTCCTCATCGGACTCTCCCTATATCTCTTCCCGCTCCATTCGACTCCCGGCTTCGCTGTCGCAATAGCCTCCGGGTTAGGCGCTCTGTTCTACGGTCTCGTCAGCGTAGCCCCTTTGATCGACCAGGAGGGCCCCTATTACACTCCGCTAAGCTACATCCTGTCTGTAGCTTTCTACAGCTCGGCAGTGCTTATAGCGAGCACTTTGATGTATATCGTCAACGTGTGCGCTGCGGCGAAAGATTGGATATCCAACAAGCATGTCGCATTCGGGGATCTTGATCCCCGGCAGGTCTTCATGTTCCTAGGGGACCCGGCCCTCTCCGTGCGGATCATAGGCCCACTATGTCATTGGGTGCTCCGCTCCAGGTCCATGGAAGAGCTAGATGAGCTGCTTGAACGTGCTTTCGAGCCTCTGCAAGGTCGGCCGGTCCTCGCTGGCAGGGCGCTCGCTTTCCTAGCAACGCGCATGCGTGCCTATCTGTTGAAGCACCCCGAAGCCATGCGATACCTCTCTCGCTGCTTGCTCAGCTTGGAGTACCAAAGCGTTTGCGACTTTTTCATCCGACTTCGCAGCAGCAGGGCTGTCATGGAAAGACTCGTCGCCGTCTTTCAGAATATCGACTCAGTCTTCGCCGCGGTAGGCGCCATGCGGTTTTTGCAAATGCTCGTATCAGCGGAAAGCCATGTGGACAACCAGTCGCAGGCTCACAGTAACCAGGATCACCGATGGAGGTACATGGAGCCTGTCCTTGCCGCGTTTCCAGCGTTCGCCAAGCAAGTCGGCGAGCAGGCCGACAAGGCGTTGCGTCAGCGGGATCCCGTACTGCATACGGCGGTGGCGAGTTTTCGTTGGACACTTATCCAATCTCTTGGAGCCGTCGAAGGAGAACCTTGCACAGCCGAACAACCAGGCTTTTTGGCCAAGACCAGCGTACATTCCATGCTCATCACGCTCGAAAGCGTCGAAAGCCTTCGTATGCGCACCGCGTCCGCTACCGATCACCCGCAGTTGGAAACCCTCCTACAGGACTCGTCGACAGACCCTCGTCTGGAGTTGTCGACGCGCAATGCATTGACATTACTGGATTGCGTTCAGCTCTGTGATTGGCAACCGGGTGACTGGCACAAACCCGATTTGAACTACCTGCGCAAGGGTATGCCAAGCATGTGGGAGTGGCCACGGCTGTATGGATGCCATGGATCTGGGACTTCGCCCCTCGCCTCAAAAACCTTACGCGAACTTCTCAGCCAAGATCGTGTCAAGGTTTCGATGCAAAGGAGCTCAGCAACACTAGTGCCCGACGCCCTCCGACTAGAGCCAGTCGCTATCCACGCCCTGCGCGACCTTGCGAGCGTTGTCGCTCCGTTGACACCCGAATTTGCTGCCAAAGGTCAAGCGAGAGAGCTAGACAACGCCCTGACACCATCCGAGAACAGCTCCGTCGATGTCGTTCCTAAGACTACGTACATTGCCTGATAGGTTTCGTAAGTCTCGATGGGAGGTCGGGGTCCGGCGTGGGCATCTCTGCTATTGTAACTTCAGACCATGGTGTTCCACGTCGCATGGTCAAGGTACCGAGGAATCAGCACATGCACTTACAAGATCCCTTCAGTTACTTCTTTACGCGTCCATACATACCAACGCGTACCCCTTTCAATTGTATCAAGTCTGCACTAATCATTCAACCCTGTCTTTTGATGTAGTCCATATGCTTCCCAATTACGTTTTTTCATGCTTCTTCACCCCTTTGTATTTGTACGGTTTGTTTGCTCATGGTTACATCCTTCTGTTCATGACTCTGTCCGTTTATACCACTGTAGCTGCATCGCGCTAGACGGGCCCCTTCCATTGAACTCTATTGTAGATTAGCAAGGAGTGAGCGAGGCTCAGATTTGCGCATAGATGAGTTAACAGAGCTGGTAGGCCTATGGCGGTGTGAGAACGAGGCGAGCGACGCAGCCTCGGATTCGCCCCGGGAATGTTTCGGAAGCTCAAGCCACGCATAACTCGCAGCGCCCAATAACGCCGAAGGGGCAGAGACGAGGGAACGGTGCTCGAGGGAACGGTACTCGTCGTGGTTGACGAAGCGCGATGTGACGAGGCGCGCGGCGCGCGGCGCGACGTGTGCGCGTGGGTGCACCAACTGTGACGTTTATCCTTGCTCGACGAAGACCGCGAACTTTATGCGCTGTAGCAATCTTCTTAATCTGTACGGAGAGGCGGCGGGAGGGCATCGTCGGGTGGGTTGCCGTTGACATCAAGGCGCGGCGTGACACCCTGCCAACGGGACCATGTATTATCGAACGGCTAGTTTCCACAGTACTTCATGACGTGTATTATATGAAGTCAGTACCATGCAGCGATGCACATCTTTTTCTTTTGAGGCAAGAGATAGTTACCGAATCGAGGGCTCTGCGCGGTGCCGGCGACGCGACGCGTCACGTCATACCGCACCTCGATGTCGGCGGCAACCCACCCGACGACGCCCTCCCGCCCCTGCTCCCCTCGCACCCCTGCACCCTCCCGCCGCCTCGCCGGAGGAGAACTACAGCGCATAAAGTACGCGGTTCCCGTGTAGCAAGGGTAAACGTCGCAGTTGATTCACCCACGCGCGCCTCGTCAGCCACGACGAGCACTGGTTTCTCGTCTTCGCCGCCCTTGCGGGCTTGCTGGCTTCGATGGTGCGCCATATCCAGTGACCGCAGTACAGCGTATACAAGAGAGAGGATCCACATGATTCATTCAAGAAGTCTCGACGCGGAGAAACATATACAATGGGCCATTTATGGGTGACCGACGACGACCAGGCGAAATTGAGGATATCGATTATGTTCGCGGGTTATGCGCGATGTTCGTAGGTTCGAGGCCGCGCGACTCAGGACGTTCGCTTCAAAAAGGGTTTGAAGGCTCTTGAGCGTCGAATCCATCCGAGTAAGCGACGGAGAGCCGAGGGCGATGATGACAATGGAGTATGCGCATCGTCAGCGTTCTGGGATGTCCCCGGCCCACGAGATCCAGGTGTCTCGCTTTCGATGAGAATCTCGCCCGCTGCGGCGCCACTCGCGTGTGGGATAGAGGTCGTTGTGATGAGAGTGTCTGTATTAGGAGCGCGGATGCCAGTTCTGGCACCGGACGGACGAGCATAGCGAGAGCCTAACGCGCGTAGTCTGACACGATGCTCTTCAAGACGAACAAGATGCATCAGATGATGAAGGTCGAAGGCACTGGTAACATGAACATACCTAAGTTCCTTTCGTCAAGATCATTCAGGTTTGGGCGGGATAATTTCCTCATGCCGAGTAGAGAACTGGATAGCTGATGACGGTGAGAGGAGAGGAGAGAGGAGGGAC